TCTCTCACCCTGCTGTGCAGACAATGCCCGTGTAATAGGCTGATTTAGCTGAATATATAGATCCCATCTTTGCCATGCATCCACTTCCAGCAGTCTGCACAGCCTTGAACTAGGGTGGTCGAATCCAGTAACTTACTGGTTCAGTGGTAACATAATTCCAATAGAAGTAAGAACCTTTAGGTTTAAATCCTAAGCATGTGGGTGGATGGGAATTGTTTTTCTTTGTACAATCTAAATTCAAACAACAAAATGTCACTAATTTTGTTTTTAATCATAGGAAAATGATTGGTACACTCTCTGGTTCAACACATCTGACAACACCTTCTGGTTCAACACACCTTCTGGTTCAATACACCTAACATCATCTACTGATTCAAGCATTAAATTTGAAAACATTAGTTTATTAATGATTAAATTGGTAAAAGTTGTTAGATGTATTGAATCGGAGAGTATACCGATCATTGTGCTTAAATATAAGTTTAAAATTCAATTCTTAGTCTTTGCATATTAAAAAAATACATTAAATATTATTATTTCTATTTTATACCAATTGAAAATCCCTAACAACCTTGAATGCTAATGAATTCTAAAAGTATTAACGTCAAATATGAGCTTTTTTTTATTAAACCAAATATGGGGTTTTAAGTAATAAATTATCTTGTCTCTATTATTTTGATTTTAGATTGTACAGTAAGAAACAACCTTTTCCAATCACTGAACTCACTTTACTTATATGCTATATAATTCAAATTTGAAATCTCTTATTTACACTAAAAGATTATTACCGTTAACCTGTCTAACTTGTTCACAAGGACTTATCTTGTCTTCTTTTTACTAGTAATGGCATAAAGTAATTATTGGATTTAGGAAAGAGTATTGGGTTTTGTTTGGTACTTTTCCGTTTAGAAAATTAAAGGGCTGCACGTCTTTTGAATCCCGGCCCAAAATTGCGATTGGGTTATTTCTACTACATAAATATGGACCTAAACTCTAAACGGTTTCTTAGACATGGCTGTAAGCCCAGTGGTTACTTAGATGGTGGTGCATGCGCCAAGTTTAACCTAGGTTCGAGTCACAAATCTCCCTTCCCTTACAAGTTGTATCCCGTTCATATATTATATATGTGGGCCTCAATCCAGCCTATTCAACAGTTTTAGGAAAGAACAATCAATTGTTCTTGTTTTAAAGTATGAAATAGTGTGAAACTCTATGAAATTGATTGATTTAATTTCTACAACAATCTTCATTTTTAATCTTCCAAATTAAGAGTCTATTC